CGTGGGGCTGCGGGCGGCGGTGAGTAACGGGGAGACTCCAGCAGCTATTTCTGTCCTGAAAACAAGTTAAAAAAAGCAGGTGGATGGTTAATGTAAAGGGCTAAAGGTCGCTTGCCAAGAACAAGCCAAGTTTCTGCTTTTTTCCCTCCTTGGGCACCTTAACTTTGTAAAACCTTGTGACCGTAATGCCACCCTTAGCGCTACTTCCCAAAAAAATATTTTGGGGGGGAGCTGGGGTGGAAGGAAGAGGTGGTAAAGCCATGGTTAACAGTAGAATTATTGTAGGTAGTATGTGTTGGTATTTATTTTAGCAACAGAAACCAGCGTTACTGTATGGTGGCGTTGGGTTTGCTTTTTTCTTTTTCCCTTCCAAACAGGCCAGTCAGCTACTAAAACATAGGGCTGGAAGGAAATTCTGTATTCTGTTTTGTTTGTTCTGCCTACCTGAAAGCATTATCGGGTTAAAGTATCAGCAAGTGTGTGCTTTGTCTGCCTCGTACTTTTAAAGCTTTGGAAACCGGAGGTTCTGGAAGGTTTCTACCTAGTCTGGTTCAATACCTTGTGTTAAAGAGCTTTTTTTTCTCCTGACATGAATCTTTTCAGAAAGTAGGTGTCTATTTGAAAATGGCTCTGGAGATAACTGTTGCTGTCCTTTAGAGCAGTGTTGGTGCATGCAAATGCTATTGTGTTCCCTGCTTGTGTGTGTGTGTCCCCAAGTCTTTACTGCCCCCCTAACTTCTCCCCACCAACTTGCTAATTTCTGGGCTTTCTGGTAGACGGAGATCAGCTGGAAACTCTGGTGCCCAAAATTGGAATACAATTCTCTAAAGCCACTTCAGACTAAACAGAACAGAAAAAAAATACCTCCTGCATCTCAGTGGAAAACGTTCATGGTAATATGTTCCAGAATGAGTTGCATGTTGTTTTTTTTAAACACTGCATCACACTGTTAATTCATTTGGTTTGAGGTCTGTCATAACCCCAGATGGCTTTCTGTAGGATTGCTGCCAACGCCTCATTCCGTATTTTGTCCTCCAGCTTTTGATTTCTCTCTTCCTCTGCTTTCTCTCTTAATAAATTATTCATCTGATCTACTTAGCAATATATATTCTAATTCTAGCCTCTCTGGTGGCTGCAATGCTTCCCAGTTAGGTGCCACCTGCAAACTTTGCAAGTATTTTCTGTATTTTTAAGTCCTTGTGGAGGCTGAGGCTAGCCTCTGGTCAAACTGTTAGTTGCTAGCATGCTATTCTTAATCAGATTGGTAAATAAGTAATAGTTAAGTGGTTTTATTGGGGGAGGGAAGACTGGTTGGCTCAAGGAAGTGACATTGAGTACACAGAGCTTAAATCTCAGGTGGAGCTGTGGTGGTAGAAGGCTGTTCTGTGGGACAAGTGTCACATGAGCGGTGTCTCAAGAGAATTCTTGGCCTTGTTAGTGATATGCTAAGCACTGATAGTAGGTAGCTTGTGTGTATGCACCAATAGCAGAGGAACTGGAGAGTTCCAAGTACATACAGCTAGCTTTTGGTTGTGGGAGCGTGTGGGTCAGAAGTTGGGTCCATTAGGTGATAGAGGAGCATGCGAAAGGAGAGTGTCAAGGTGACAGGCTGAGTAAGTTAGAAGCTCCAGTTTGCAAAGCTTCAGGCTAATACAATGAGAGCAACCACCAGAGAGAGGTATGCTGGTACAATGCAGGCAGAGTTGCTAATAAAGTAACAGAATGTTAATACATGAGTGACCCAAGCCAAACTGGAAATCGCACAGATTTTTGAATCCTTACAAGATTCATGAAAGCTAGTAGCCAGAAAGGGGGCAGTTCTTTTCTAATTGCAGCATGAATTAAATCTTTATGCTTTCTCTGTTCTTAGGCTTTAGCTTGGCACAGAAGCCATTTGGAGCAACATATGTCTGGAGCAGCATTATCAATGCGCTTCAAACCCAAGTGGAAGTGAAGAAGCGTCGCCAGAACCTGAAATGCTATCATGACTGTTTTATTGGTTCAGATGCAGTGGATGTTGTCTTTGCCCATCTTCTACAGAACAAGTATTTTGGGGATGTTGATATTTCCCGTGCTAAAATAGTGCGTGTATGTCAAGCGCTGATGGATTACAAAGTATTTGAGGCTGTTTCAACTAGGGTCTTTGGAAAAGACAAGCGGTCTGTATTTGAAGACAGCAGCAGTAGCCTCTACAGATTCACAAATGTCTCTAACCAAATGGAATTTGATAAAGATTACCAGCAGTGTACCCCACAAAGGTTAGTGCATGGAATGTGAAGTTAAGAAATTTTTTCAACAGGAAAATGTTAGGTATTCTGGGGGAGAGAAGGGAAAACTGTTTGTACAATTACAGGACCTGGAGGGAAAAAAATAGATACCATACAGATGTTTGTGGGTGGAAGATGGGTAGGAAAAGGCAATTTGAAGTGAGTAAATCATTCAGCCTGCATAATTACCTGCTTTCTTTATCTGTTACCACATTGCTGTTGGGGGTAGCAGGGTAGAAGTTAAGTGCGTTACAGATAGTGATCTATTGGGCTCTAAACCAATATAACCAACTGGTATTCAGTTGCATCAGACTAATGCAGTGGAGCAATCTTTAGTCACTGTGCACCTAGCTCTGGCATAAGCCAGCAATCCATCCATTTTTTAAGGAAAAGTAAAAAATTTTTTTTTCTTCTTTCATTTTATTTTCTTCTATCGTTATCTTTGTGTGCGTATGACTTGTTCCTAGGCTAGGTAGCAGGTCTTATGCTGTTACACTACTGCATGCCATTGTAGAACCAGAGAGAACTGTGACTGTGAAGTTTTGTTTCCCTGTCTCTTTAGGAGAGGAGAAAGACAACCCTGGTACTAACTAAACTATCACAGAACAGAACACACTGCTATGTAGATGGCGCTTTGCCAAATAACTTCCCTTAAACATTTCTTGTCACGTGTTGATCTCTGAATGTATTCCAACATATTCTTACAAAAAACTACGTTCGTGTAGTTACTGCAATAGTTATAGTGATACGCACTTTTGAAAATTGCAAGTAGTATTTACCTAAAAAGAAAATACCTTATGTGATTGATGTGTTCATGAGAGTAGCAAATGTGAGCTTCATGTCAGGCAGGGGAGAGAGGGGAGAAGATTATGTAAATATTTATCTAGAGAAAACATCTTTTTAATTGCTGGCAGTTATCCATATCTATATGTTATGTTACATGCTTGGTTATCCATGTGTATATATATGGATGTAATGATACATAAAAACTGTTTCTTAATCTCAGACATGAGAAGAGCATGTTGTTTGACTCTACTCCTGTCAAACCAGAAAGCTTGGAGGATCTGTGGGAAAACCTGAGTTTAAAGCCTGCAAATACCCCTCAAGTAAACGTCTCTGATAGGTTGTCCCGTCGAGGTAGGCCAAATAATGTCTCAGTCATTTGTTTGTGGGAGAAGGGAGATAATAACTGTAGGACTGGAAAGGCTTATGCCTGTCACATTGGAGAAGGAGTCAAACTGACTTTTGTGGTATTTTGTTTTGAACACTGTATCATAACAAAGGCAAGTTATATTTGTTGCAGGCTTGCTTCTTACCTCTTTATTTCATCAGATGGGAGCAGTTATCTCTAGTTGAAATAAATCAGTGTTGAATTTTGTGAAGAAGTGTACACAATTGTGTAGAGCCTCACTTCAGTTAGGAGTGTTCTTCATAATACTCAATTACCTATGCTATTTCCATGCTTGACTTAATCATGACCAATGGTCTATTGTTAGTGAAAACTCTTCCCTAGCTTTTTAACTGTGTATTTGCACTGTCCAGCACTCCTTCAGTATGGTGTGAAGCCGTTCCTTACAATTCATGGCTTCTCTCTCAGATTAAACTATGACCTAATGTGGTTTTTTCCTTTGGTTAAAAATGCTAATGCAGCCTCAGAAACTCAAAGCCTGAGCCAGATCATAATTGTGGAAGCTGTGATAAGGATAGTGTCACTGTTACCTTTTTTTTTTTTAATTCCTTATCTAGAACAAAGAAGGCTTGCAAATTGGAGCACAAAGAATGTAAGGCACTTCAGACTTATCCAAAAAGCAGTTCTCCAACGCTTGTAGTTAACTAAACAAATGGCTAATTCTTTCCCTTTGTGGTGATAAAATGCACTTAAAGCAGATAAGGGCCACACTCTCTGCTACTGTAAATCTTTATTTTGGTGAAATTCATCTGTTGGGTTAGAACTGATGGGAGGAAGGGGATTTGTATTAGAACTGGTGGGAGGAAGGGGATTTGTATTTTTCGTAATCTTTATTTTTGTACATGCTGAATCTCCATGTGCCTTGTGTATTCCATCCGTCCCAGTTATTAATGAAGTATGGCAAGAACAAACAGTTGCTCGCCTGCTGCAGCTTGTAGACCTTCCACTCCTTGAGTCTTTACTTGAGCACCAAGAGATCAGACCTCAGCTTCCACAACCAAGGAAGGAAACTGGATATGTCATCTCAAGTAACTACCTAGACAGGGAGATTCTCAAGGCTTTCAGTGACTCACAGTGAGTATTCATCGCTCAGCTCTGCAACTTTGAAAAACTTTCTGCTTTCATAGGAATGTAAAGCACAAATGATCTTTGGGTAGAGGTGTAGTAGTCTCCTGTACTGCAGAAAGGATGTGAGTAGGTACTCTTATCCCTGTTAGACTTGACTGGATTAACTGGTGAATACTAATTGTTAAGCTCTAAACCAGAAGTAGCTGAGGCAGTTTGTGCTGAACACTGGAAGAGTTTTTCAAAGCAATGATAGTACCTAGTAGTATTCAGAGGGGAAATAGTTTGCTGCACTGAGGGAAGAGTAGAGCATTTTGCTATCATCTTGAATTTTTTTCATTAAAAAATTACCTGTGAGGAGGGAATAGTTTAGTTTCTCCTACTATATTGAAAAAGCCAAGAACGCTGGCCCTGAAACGGTTAAAAACAGAGTCTGAAAAACTTTTACCAATCTGAATCAGATCACAGTGCAGGTTTCTGTTTATGTAGCAATAATTATGTCCTTGTCTAACAGTAGAGGATATCACTAACTTTAGGTTTAACTGTTTGTGACTGTTTACCTTTGGGTTATTAATTATTGCTTTTAAATACATAACAAAGAGGTATATGACTATGATCTACCTCAGTGTGTTAGGAAAAGTGTCTTTTTTTGTGTCAATTTCTAATGTATTTAAGTCCTATGTATTTAAGTACTCTCATGCAGTGAGAAACCAGTGTACTTACTCTCTGTGAAAAACAATGCCATCAACTCTGAAGGGCATCAGTAAGTAATGCTACGAAGTTAAACCACTCGTGTTTTTTAGAACAGATGAATGGCTCTCAGCGGCAATAGATTGCTTGGAATATCTTCCAGATCATATGGTAGTAGATATTAGCAGGAACTTGCCTGATCAACCAGATAAAGCAGACACATGGAAATTACTGCTGTTTGAAAACATTGGTAGATACTACAGCCAAAAAAAGGAGCCGCTGTTAAGTCACGCATCTGAAATTCATTCAGGAATTGCAGAACTATTGGGTAAGTACAATAAAGTTATATTCCTAAACTCATGTGAGCGATGTACTGACAAACTGAGTATTTACTATAGCAGCCAAGCTTAAAGGTTGACCTCTGCAAGCTTTTTTTTAATTTCTAGTCATGAAGACTGAGCTTTGAAATAAAGAGAAATTTTCATCCTAACTATATGCAGTTCTGTAGCTTGTATTCAGTTCTGTGTAGAATGGCTGTGAAACTGGAGTGCTATAACTTGGAGTAGTTGATATCCATGGAAATTAAATATCCATGGGAAACTAGATATAAATATGGCCTAATATTAAATATTTAGGCTATAAGATCTAAAGTTAAAGCTGTGTGGATGCTCTCCCCTCTTGTCCATAGAAATGTGCATTTCTGAAACTTAATGTTTAGGCAGTATTTTAGAAAGCTGTTGATGTTTTAGTCAACAACTAACATCTTATCGCTGTTCTCCTTATTTTTTTATCATTCTCCTTGATTATTATTCTTGCTCCATGTTGGTAGAAGTACTTCTTATTTATAACCCATTCCTCCTCCCTACATGATAAAGGGAGGATACTAGTACAACCTACTTCATTGAAACAATTCACACATCTAAAATTGGTATTTTGCATGCTAAGGCCAATTAAAACTTAGCGAAGCTCTGCAGAATGGTTTGCAATTAATTCATCAAGATAGCCTACTTATCATTCGTCATTTCTTGGTAGATCTTGACTTCTATAACAAGAAGTCATCAATTTTCTAAACAGAACCATTTTCCTTTCTCAGGATTTCACATTCCATTCAAGATGGCTGAACTGTAATTGAACTTAATTGAAAGTGAGCTTTCCTAAATATCAGGCTAAAAGCCTGGGTTTGGGCTGTTCTTAGACTGTATGTAAACAGCTCTCATCAGCCTGTGAGAAATTTTTGTGAGGATGAATTGCTTTGTTTGACCAGTTCTGTTTAGAGAGATTAACTTCTCTGCAGTGGGTAATTTAGGTAGTTTATTGTAACATTTAAATAAATAAATTCAGCAGTAGATAACCTTTCTCTCTCCCCAGTGAATGGGAAGATGGAGCAATCTTTAGAAGCTGTTCAACTCTATTTGAAGCTTCTAGACAGCCAAATCAGGGAGGAGTTCAGAAGACTACTGTACTTCATGGCTGTTGCAGCACATAATTCTGAGCTCAAACTACAGAAGGAGGTAAATGCAAATTTAACTGTTACACGTTGCTTTACATCTACTGAAACGCAGACATTTCCCGGGCACTGGTCAGAAATACATTCATAGCTTAAATATGCAACTACAGGAGAAGCAAGGACGCAAGAAGTACAAACGCAGTGCCTTTCTTAAAGGGGGAAACTTAATTCTCCTCTTATGATCATTATTTCACATTATCCTGTAGAGTGACAACAGGATGGTTGTGAAAAGAACGTTCTCTAAAGCTATTATCAACAATAAAACCTTATCCAGAGGGAAAACTGACCTCCTGATCTTGTTCCTTGTGGATCACCAAAAAGATGTGTTAAAGGTAAGTGCTGGAAAATGACCAGCTTTTTGTTATCTTGTATGCTTATGCAGAATAGCCTTTTTCTAATCTGCTGTTTGCCTGTCTTCTTTCTATTCAAGATCCCAGGGACACTGCATAAAATGGTCAGCAACAAACTGGTGGCTTTGCAGAAAGGCCAAGATCCTAGTAAGATACCAGGTAACAGTTTAAACTGAAGTTTTTATTCTTGTCACGCACCCAGATGAGGAATAGAAGGAACTGAGATGATGCAAAAAAGACTTGTGGTAACAATGACTAATTTGACTGTAAAGGAGGATGGCTCTGTAGACTCTTGAGGGTGGTTGACTGTGGTGTTAACTATCTGAATGTCTCGTTTCCTTTTAGGCTATACCTTCTGCCAAAAACTTGATGAAAGAGAGTATCGCTCCACTACTGAGAAGACCACAAAAGATGAGCTGTTATCTCTACTGAAAGCTATTGATGAAGATTCAAAGCTCTCTGACAAAGAGAGAAAGAGACTGCTAGGTCAGTTTCATAGTAGTAATCCAAGTATTTTTATGCAATATTTTGGAGACAGAGTTACTAATATGTGTGTGTGATTTTTAAAAATAGATTACTTTCTATACTCCAGCATTGAAAACACTAATATATTTGTAAATCTTTTGTATTCATGTATCTAATAAAATTATTTTGTGGAAATGGATGGAACTTACACAATTATTACCAAAGCAAACAGTACCCAAGTTTAGCCTGTACTGTTTAGCTTTGCTTATTCTTAACTTCTGTAGGGCCAAAATAATCCTTCCTTTTCCTCACCTAAAGCCAAGTCTATTGACTCCCTCTATTCAAGTATCAAAACTACTGAGGTGGGAAATGCCTCTCCATGAAGATCTCTCTGCCTTCTTTTGCCCAAGCACTGAATTTTATGCTGAACAGTTTTTTTTTCTAATTGGCCTTGCATTACTTGGCTGTCACACAGCATTGATCCTTGACTTACTGCGTAATGGACAGAGCTGAATAACATCTTCTGATTGATATGCTGCAGCTTTTCTTCAAGCTTGCCAGCTAATACTCCCATGTACGTATATGACAATTTACTATGCTGTTTTACGCTAAAATGGTGCTATATTGAGGAATCGCCAGGGAAGATGACTTTTTTTTCCCATCCAAGTCCTACCATGAACTCCCATTGACTCTCCTGGGGTGGTAGAGATGTTCTCTATTTTTATGTCAGCCTGGCTTTGGTTGCCACAGAATGTACCATTTATGGCTGGTTGTATTCATTGCTGCAATGTTTTGCTCTGTAAGTCTTATTGATGTCCCTAGCTGTGATTAGAAAAGAGCTGGAACAAATGAAAGGCCTTAGGGTTTTCTTAACAGCTGTATATTCTATCTGTGTCTAGTCCATGGTGGAACACAGGCAAGTGCAAACAGGAAAATATATAGCATGATCAGAGATCTAATTTTGACTCTTGTGGAGTTATCTCTGGGATGATACCAGCAAAACTTCAGTAGAGTTCTTACAAGAAATCACAAATTTTGTCCCATGGGTGGTGTTGACTGAGTTCTGTTCTCTTCTATTTGGGGGAAAAAAAAGCTGCTTTAACTGGGATCAAAGGTAGTCTAGTTATGAAAACAAAGTGGAAAAAACTGTTAGAAACCCCTGTGATGAGGTTTTTAAAAACAATTCCATTTGAGATACTGCTCTGTAATACGTCACAAAGTCACTCTCCAGTCATTACTGGTGTCGCTGCTGGCTGGTGCTTCTCCAGAGTACTTTCTCTGCAAGTGAGGTGATGACTCTGTGTGCAGAAGACAATACGTTACTGTACTCTGATGGGGGGGCGGGAGACAAGCATACAAGAGGCTTTACTATAGTCAATTAGAAAGGGCTTCTAAAAGACAATCAGTTATTGAAAACTAATAGCATAGGGGAGGTGTACCCCTTCTTAGTAGTTATTTTTTGTAGTTCTCAATTTTAACTGAAAGCTTTTTCTTGGAAAAAGAGGCTTAACCCACACTTTAAAAGGTGGGGGTGGAAAGGCAGTTTCTTGTTCTTGGAACTTCTGATCCTATTTTTTGAAGTTACTTGTGCTGTTGTTTTGGCCACCCCTTCAGCAAAAGTGTATTCCCTCTAGAACTCCTGGTTCTGTGTGCTGTCTGGGCTGACCTTGCTGGTGAGAGCATGAGATTTCTATATCGAACAAGGGTTCCTGCCTACGGGCATTGCCGGCTGGATTAAGAGTTCTGAATTACAGACATTGCCATGCTGTGTGAGTCACTGGGCTGGCTTTAGTGCCAAGCTTGCTTCCAGGCTGCTGAAAAGCAGCCTGCAGAGAAGCACCAGGCAGGAGAGGTGTGTGGGAGCGTTCAGTGGTGGGTGCAGGGCAGGGACAGCGCGATACAGCTCATCCAACGGTACAGGGGGGACGGAGGGTCAGGGTGTGAGCGGGATGGGGTGTAAGCAAATACATCCCTGCAGGACAGCAAAGGCTTCTTTCCTTGGGTGCTCTTGGCCTAGAGCAGTGCCTTCTCCTGCTGGGTGGATTTAATCTGAAGCGGCACGGTCGGGTAGGGGCAGGTGCCTATTTGTCTGTGCCAGAGCCCAGGTGGAGGCTGTTGGGGTGCGGGGCTGGCGCGGGCCCAGCCGTGAGCGCTGTAGGGAGCTGCTCCTCGCTCAGTTACCTAAAGGCGAAACCC